TGATCACCTGTATCTCGAACATGCATGGACCGATTAAGTTCAAACTTCACTCATACATCACACATTATATGGGACATATGCACATGCATTTTTTTCATGATCTGATTAACGATAGCCGAATAGCGGCCATTTTAAGGCCGAAAATGCATCAAAATCACATATTTTCACAATTCCAGAACCGGATCTCAGTCATGCATGAATGGATTTTGTTCAGATTTAGCACATATGCAGGTGCATTTCGGTCATGATCTGCTTTGAATGTATATGTCACTCAAATATGAACGGAACGGGGACGTGTCATTGACAATGACTTGTTCATTTTCTGTTCTTTAATTGAAATGTGCATTGCTATCAGTGGAACTATCCCAGCCGACATGTCCTAAGGATTATCTTCCACATCACGTATCACGTGATGAGGTCAATGAGCTCAGCAGCCATATTGCCTTATATTCACTCTGTTTTCTCTACACCGAGTGTGCATCACAGCGAAACAGTACAGTTCAGTCAGCAGTTTTTCTCAGCTGAGTTTTCTGAAAGCTTGCCTTGTTCATTTCTTAGTGTAGCTTAAAATGGAAGACAAAAAAGAGAAGCACTCCAAGCATGGCACCCTGTGGTGTCACCTCAAAAGTTCACTCGGCCTTGCGGGAATTCCCACCAGGACCTCCTGGGCTGGAACCCCCATAGTAGATGTCATTTATGTTTGGAATGTGTGCAGGGTTGGGTTTTTCCCACGGGGACGTGTGTTCAAATTGGGATGCCAAGTCCTTGGGTGAGTTGCAAGACCGCATTTGTGTCGTTTCTCGAACCCGCTCTTACCAGAGGACATTCTCTGCATCCTGCTGCTGCAGGTGAAGGTTTGGCTGACCGTGTCGGCAGCGGCAATGCTGTGCCTCTGGTGCCTACTGCTCTTATGGGGCCTATTGGGGATTGCTATGTGGATACTTCCTCACTGGATGTCTGGTTCGCCTCCGAGATGTGGGCTATTTGTCCAGGTCCTGTCAGGACAAATTTTGTCTGTTACAGGTCGTGTAGACAAGCTGTAGGAGAAGCAGGTTGCCGCCACTGCAGATGCCTCTCAGTCAGTGACAGAGAAGTAACACTCCAAGCAGCAATGTTTGCATTTAAAGGGTGATTCCTCCCAGGATTCTCCCGATCCCAGCTTCTACTTTCTCATTGATTTGGAAGCAGATGGGGTGCAGGCCAGTGGTACAGGGACTCTGTCAAGGCCTAGTCAACAAATGGCCGACGGGTGTGTGTGTGTGTGTGTGTCTTTGTCCCATTCAATGACCTGCAGGTGTTCCCAGAGGGGATCAACCCGGCTATCAGAGGT